GTCGCGAAGAAGCGAACCGATCCCTCCTCTTCCCTCCCCGAAGCGCAGTCCGCTGTACAGTCACCGAGCCGATTACATAGTCTCTGCCGGAGCGCGTCTCAGCCCACAATTATTCCACCTAAAAGGAGAGATGGAAGGACAAGAAGAAAGTGCAATCAGACATCCCAAGCGCCTTCCTCCGGGTTCCTGCAGACTACCCTCCTCCTCCTTCACGAAGCCCCCATCGCTACCCTCCGCGCGCTCCTGCCTTCTCCCTGGCCGATTAATCTTCCTGGTTTTTCCGAGAAAAGCGAAGTTACTTTTCCGTCCCGGGAGGGCTGGAACCGTCTTCGCGCGGAGAGGTTGCTGGGGCCCCTCGGGGATGAGCGCGCCGCGCCGCGCGGGACGCAGTGGAACGGGAGGGGGCGTGCCGAGCAGCCCAGAGTGTGCCGGGAGCGCGGGGGAGGGGAGGCGCCGGGCACGTCAATGTCACGGCTTAATATTTATTCCTCTATCATTGTGTTGTGTTGCTCCCCTCCCTCCCTCCCTCCCTTCCCCGGCCTGGACGCGCAGGGAGAGGGGCTCCGGGGTGCCGTGGGACGGTCAGGGGTCGTGCGCAAGCTGCTGTGGAGGGGCCGAGTCCACCCGTGTGGGGCCGTAGAGTGTGGGTGGGGGCCCCCAGGACCCTGTAACTCGATGCTTGGGAGTGTGCGAGAAGGGGTGGTCAGACATCTGCTCGAAAATTGCTTCCTTTCTTTCTACTTTCAGTTTTTCTACCAGGAAACATTTAAAAACGACTTGCATCACAAATGGTCTTTTGGGGGGTAAAGGAGTCTGGGTTGGAAATGGCACTCTTCCTTCGCCAATGCGGAGGACCTCCCTGGTGGAAAACCATCAGGCCGGGAGAGGTGGGTTTCCCGCTATTCGGGGGTGGGTGGAAACAGTTGTTATATAACCAGTTCAGTTTTTACGTTTTATGTTCCCATCAATCTGTTGGCGTTTTCTTACGTTTCTCTTTAGAAAACGTAAGAATAAAAGTTAATAGAGCTCAGAACACTCTCTAAATGCAGTTACTGTTCGTGCTCGCCACATTTTAGCTCGTCTCTTTAAAGAATAACTTAAGGAGAAAGGTAACCACTGTAACCCGCCCTGAAATTTCCAACCGATTCCAACCTAAGTAAAACTCAATTTCCCCAGGAAAAAGGGTGGCGGTGACGTGGGGTGGGGTGAGGGGAGAAAATGCTGAGCCTCCGGGGGTGAAAGAGAAGAGGCTCCACTCCCGCGGCGGGGGCTCTTCCCCGACTCCCAGGATCATCTCCGATGTACGTAGCAGACAGAGGTTTCCATTCCCCTTTCGGCTTCAGGCCCGATGCC